GTCAGTACAACTCCCTGTCACAGACACATTGACGACACCTCCCTGTCTCACTCACAGTCACTACACCTCCATATCACACACAGTCGCTACATCTTCCTGTCACAAACACGCAAAGAGTCGCTGCACATCCCTATCACACACACATTCACAACAATGCCCTGTCACACACAGTCAACACAACCCCATTTCACGCACAGTCGCTAACACACCTTGTCACGCACACAGTCACTATACCCTCCCTTTCACCCACATAAATAGTTACTACACGTCCCACTCACACAAAGTCACTGCATCTCCCTGTCGCGCACACAGAGAAATGACACCTCCTTGGCACACACAGTCACTACACATCCATCTCATACTCAAAGTCACCACTTGAAATTCTTCCACGAAGGTCTCTTTTCAATCCAACTAAAAGATGGGCTGTTTCCCGTTGTCAAGAAACCTTTTTTTTATTGATGAAATTAAATGATTTGCGATCATTTGGAAGTGAAACAATTTTTTTCTTCATCATAGGCCGTCAGTCAATGATTTTTCAAAGAGTAAAAACCTTCTAACACAAGAAGGGATAATGGAAGCAAACAATTTATCAATAAATGAGTGTTGATCATTTACCATATTTCCTGGAAGAGCAGCAGGCAGCCGGGTATCAGTTAGATCTGCACTTTATTATTTCTGTTTTTGTTGATCAGATGCTGTGTGACACCCAGACCAGTCAAGTGGCACATACACGCTTTATGGTTAAAGCTCACACGCCCGATGCTGTTGGGCATGTTAACCATTTGTGCTTAGTTTCTGATGGATCACAATGGAAAAATGGTAAAGGGCTTTAGATAGGTCTAAACCCCGTAGTTACCCCCGATACTCACAGATTAGGGTGAAAACTGTTTTGTTTGTGTTCTACTGCACTGTGTTGTGAAGTGAAACACTGCTGTACCTTTTTCTAGCTGTTAGATTATAGATGTTGAGGTCTAACAAGAATGAACATTAAACAAATGCAAAATGGAGAAAGTACTGAAAGTCGTGGGATAGGACACATCTGGTTTCCTCTGTTTTTGAAAGAATAACAGGACAGCTTTGCGAAAGGGCAGAGGGTCAGCTCTTATCAGTAAATGACAGCACGCCCACAGAGGTAAAGGTCCAAGGTATCGGTCGACACAGGATCTCGTCTTAGCAATAAGTTGCTGGATTCTGACAGGGCCAAGCGACAGAAGGCAACCCTCAAGAATAGCAACTGATGAGCAAAGTTGTTTAAACTAAAGTTGTCATTGTTACCATCCTGGGATACTAATAAGATACAGCCAGTCACTGAGTGTACAAATGATCCCACACAACAAAATAACAAGCACCAGATACAGCCCTAAACTGATCAATTTCCTATCTTAGTCAGGATAAAGGGAAGGCCTCGCGGAGACTCAGTCAGGCTGGCACCAAGCCAAATGATTCATTATCCTGACTACCAGTCTGTATCAGAAGTGTGCAGAAGGGCCCTGGGGAGGAGACTTGGAGAAAGGGAATAACTATGGCACTCCAGGTGAGAACAGCTGGAAGATCAGGATGGCTCAAGAGAGAGGGAGAGATCAGTGGAGTCCTGCAGCTCAGTGGTTAGGGCACTCGCCTTGTCAGCGAGAGGCCTGAGTTCAATTCCGAAACGGCGATAGCTTGGGCAAGTTTGCTTATCCCACAAGCCTGATGATAATTCCTCCAAAAAAAACAAAACAATAATAAATTGGTCATTTTCAATCTACGACTGTTTGTTGGACAGACATTGCTGTGCGCAATTGGCTGCCACGTTCGCCCACAAATATACAGTCAATTCACTTTACAGTACATTATGTGAAGCGCTTTGGGACGTCTACAAGACGTGGAAAGCGTTATATCAAATGCAAGGATTATTATTAGTAGTAGTAAAGTGTGGAGTGGTCCCCTTAAGATCACAAGGCAGGTGTTACGTGATGTTCCGTGACTGTCTTCAAAGACTGGTAGTATTATTTGTTAGACATTTGTAGTAACTTGCTAATGCCTGTAGTGTTCACTCTGTTCAAAATAAACACTGCTGCACCAGATTTGGATTATCGAGTCATATTTCGAACTGCGGGATCGACAATTCCTACAGTATGTACTGGAGAATTGTCACACTGAGTGCGATCACTGGGTCAGCAGAGGAACAATTTTTAATTTTTCTTTGGTCACTCTGCAGATAATTGTATTTGTGTACAATAACGGAGGTATATTGTTCATGGTTTGAGTCCGTCTGATTAAGTAGAATTTCTAGCCAGTCCCACATCATGCATTTGATTTCCTTTCCGATAAAACGAATAAACAGAGCAAAGCGTCACCAACGCAGGACGTTGACACAATCTACAGAAACTGAGAGCACTGTGAAGTGAGTTTGACTGATCTGAGATGAACACTGCAACTCGCTGGGAAACTGCAATCATGTGTTTGGTAATAAGAATAGCAATCTTTTGCAAATACATTTTGTGTCACATAATTATGAGTTGATCGGTTTGATCTTCCTGTACAAATGCCACAGATGATTAAACGCATTTGATAAATACGCTTGTTCCCGTGGTAAATCCACAGGATTGTGTGCACATTTGCTTCTCTCAGACACGATGGTTTGGATGAAACTGCAGAACATGAACAACATCTGAGTCCTGTGGCTCAGTGGTTAGAGCACTCGCTTTGCAAGTGAGAGACCTGAGTTGAATTCCAGGCAGAGGGCGAAACCTTGGGCAAGTTTCCTTACTCCACACAGAGCCTAATAATAATCCTCCAAAACCAACAACAATAATAAATTGGTCATTTTCAATCTAAGACTGTATGTGGGACATTGCTGTGCGCAATTGGCTGCCGCGTTCGCCCACAAATATACAGTCAATTCACTTTGCAGTGTGTTCTGTGAAGCGCTTTGGGACGTCCTCCCGACGTGAAAAGCGCTATGTCAAATGCAAGGATTATTAACTTGTATTCATGGAGCGTCTTTAAGCAGTTCAACCTCTGGGGGTACTATCATGACGGGAAGAGGAGGTGAACCACTGTCGAAGATTTTAAGGTGGAACTTAAAGACAGTTAAAGAGGAGACGAGGCTGGGGGTTTAAAGCATGCCGTTGCTAAGGTTTGGGACCCAGTAGCACATGGCTTCGACAACGAATGGCGACGAGGAATATCGGGGAAAACAATAACAACGAAAACAATAGCTCCGAATCCAAAATCAGAGGAACTGAATTCACTTTTATTTCAAGCCGTATAACTTTTTTTTTTACTGGAGGTTAAAAGACATAATTTCACAATAATTCCATAAACATGGTTACAACAGCAGTATTACGGTAAGGAATATGATGATAGCCAGTTGTGGTATGTCATTCCAATAGCAATGTCAAAGCTCTTAGTCTTCTCTTCCTTGAGAACTCTCATAATGGTGGGCATTGAGTGTCTTACATACATGTTCTTGTATTGTCAACATATATTTCTCTTTTCGTGTTTCGTCCACCGATGTTCCTGCAGAAATGGACAGTCGAGAGGGTTCAGTGACAGAAATCTCGGATGGAAGTTTTGCCAACGTGGAGGGGCGACAATCATGCTCAGTCTCTGACTGACTGGATTTGACCACTGGGACTGACAACGTGTAGCTCAGCTATTAATTTGTATCACAGTTCTTTTGATTACATTTGGCTGACAGGTGGAGTACCACTCACCATCATCTATTTACTCAGTCCGCCCTGAGTCCCAAGGCTGTCTAAGTTTAAATCAATTCTGGAACAGATCATCAGCAAACATCACAAGAAAATGAACTTGCAGTAACCGGTTCAATTCTTCTCTCTTTGGCAATTTAACTCTAAATAAGACAGACATGTGTTCGTAATATTTTATCTGCGGCTATGTGCTGAGTGTAGATTAGTTTAATTAGGATTACAGTTCTACACGGTTAAGTTGACACAAGCTGACACACAAAAGCGTACCCAACGTAGCTTACACAAAAACTAAACAGTGATCAGTTGCTGATGAGTACAAGGGGATCAAAGAGGAAAGGAGGTGAGGAGACTTTTGCCAGAACTAAAGAGGGAAAGCATAATATGACACAAACAATATTGTTTTGAGTGATGATTTACAGGTTAAACTCTATAACAGATAGTGGAATAACCAAATTGGTGAAAAATAAGCATTATCTGGTGTACCGTGCACCCCAATTTTTCTTCTTCTTTTTCACTTTTTAAAATATCTACTGATTATTGTGAAAGGATATCTAATTGCATTGTTCAGCTCCTCTCTGAATTTGGTCTGGGTGACCGCATAAATGGCAGTGTTTGTGCAGGAACTCAGCAGCTGAAGCATAAAACCTGCTTCTTCAAACATTGCCAAAGGGTTATAGAAGCCTCTTGAGTTGTGAACCCCTGTAGCTCTGTAGAGTATGTAATGTGCAACAGATATCATCCACAACAGTATAAAACTGAGTGATATAGTGAACAGTAAAATGATGGATTTCTTTCTGTTCTCCATTTGCGGATCATTGCGATGATCAGCGCTGCTGCTGCAGACTCGCAGTTTGGTGCGGACTCGACTCGCCACAAGAATGTGTCTGACGGTTAGCGCGTTGAGCAACAAAATCAACACGAATGGGAGCAGAGGGACCAAAATCTGTTCAAACCAATAAAACGTAATCCACGCGGGATGAAAGAGAAGGTTTGGTTTGACAAGGCAGCCCCAGGGCATGTTATGAATTTTACCGTAACGGTGGAATGCAAAATAAAAGGGAATATTTTCCAAGCAGAGCAACGCACTTAAAGATCCTATAACCACAGACGCTGTTCTCTCAGTGCAGTGCTTTTGTTTCAGTTTCTGACAACAAACGGCCACAAAGCGATCAAAGGTGAAAGCCACGGTTAGCCACACAGCAGAGTCCACGGCGGCTGCAGAAATGACATGAATGAAGCTGCAGACAGGAGTGTAGAACAAATATGAGGTAAATAAATAAATCTCGCCAATCTGTTTCAGGATTACTTCGGAGACAATGACTGACAGATCCGCCGCTGCCATGGCCACCAGGTAGCGGGTGATACAGTTGGACAGTCCGCACTTTCCTCGGGAGAGGATGAAAATCGCCAGTGAATTAACTGCAAGAAAGAAAAGGATCATTTAATTAGACCCTGACCTGTGGAGTGATATGCTGACGAGTCTGTCAGTAAGAACATCAGTGAAACAATCATGAATTGAAATTAAGCTTTGCTAACCTGTTTCAATAGGGAGTTGTTGATAACAGATTTAAGCCACTAAAAAACGGTACACCAGGCTTGTTCAGTGACAAGTTGAATTTACTGTATTACTGTGCAGAAAAGGAGAGATCTTCAAGGAGTGCGATAGCTAAAGCAGTGGGTAAGAGCCAATGGCGAGGAGGGGCATTTGAGTAGCATGACATACATATGTGGGGAGGACAAGACTATGGGGAGAATTTGGGAGAGTTGGGCAAGTGGAGTAAGGAAACTTGCCGAACGTTTACCTTTGCTGGGACACGAACACAGTCCTACTGCTTGTTGGAGAGAGTGGTCTAAGTCTTGAGCTACAAGAATCCATCAACAACAACAACAACAACAAGATTCCATTTATAGAGCGCCTTTCACGTCAGGAGGACGTCCCAAGGCGCTGCACAGTTGGGTCATGACCCGAGCAGGGGGGAAATGGTCAGGGTGAGGGGAGGGAAGGGAGGGAGAGAGGAAGGGGAAATGGTCAGGGTGAGGGGAGGGAAGGGAGGGAGCGAGGAGGAGGAAGAGAGTCGAGAGGGGAGCTGAAGGCACGGTCAAAGAGAAAGGTTTTGAGACCGGCCTTGAAGGAGGAAAGGGAGGAAGCAAGGCGAAGGCACTGGGGGATGGAGTTCCAGAGCCTCGGGGCTGAGAGGCTGAAGGCCCGACCACCGATAGTAGGGCGGTTGGGGCGGGGGACGTGGAGCAGACCGGAGCCAGAGGAACGGAGGGTACGGGCAGGTAGGTAGGGGGATAGTAGGTTGGAGAGGTAGGAGGGAGCAAGGCCGTGAATGGCCTTGTAGGTGAGGATGAGGATCTTGAAATCAATCCTCTGGGGGATGGGGAGCCAGTGGAGGCGAGCGAGGGTGGGAGTGATGTGGTCCCGAAGCCTGGTGCGGGACAGTACACGAGCTGCAGAGTTCTGAATGACCTGCAGCTTGTGGAGGGAGGTGGCGGGAAGGCCGGCGAGGAGAGAGTTCCCATAGTCCAGCCTTGAGGTGACAAAGGCGTGAACCAGGGTTTCAGCAGCGTGAGGGGTGAGGTAGTGCCGTAATCTGGCGATATTCCGGAGGTGATGGAAGGCGGTGCCAGTTGTGGTGCGGATGTGAGGGAGAAAGGACAGCTCAGGGTCGAACAAAACGCCGAGGTTCCTGACTGGCTTTGAGAGGTGGAGAGTGCAGCCTTGGATGCTGATGGTGTCAGCGCCTGAGGTGCGGAGGCGCTGACGTGAGCCAATCAGGAGGGCCTCGGTTTTTTGCACGTTGAGCTGAAGAAAGTTGTCTCTCGTCCAGGACTCGATGTCGGACAGGCAGCTGTCAGGACATCGGTGGTCGTGGAGTTGAGAGTAGAGGAGGAAAGGTAGAGTTGGGTGTCATCCGCATACATGTGGAAGTTAACCCCATGTTTGCGGATGATGTCACCAAGGGGGAGCATATAGAGGGTGAAGAGGAGGGGACCGAGGACAGAGCCCTGAGGGACACCACATGAGACAGTACGGGGGGTGGAGGAGAAGCCATTCGTTGAGACGAAGTGAAGACGGTGAGAAAGGTACGACCTAAACCATTCAAGGACAGTGCCTTGAAGGTTGAGGTGGGAGGACAAGCGGTGGAGTAGGATAGCGTGGTCGACCGTATCGAATGCTGCCGATAGGTCGAGGAGGACGAGGAGACAGAGGGAGCCCTGGTCACAGATGGTCAGGATATCATTGGTGACCTTGACCAGGGCAGTTTCTGTGCTATGAGCAGCACGGAAACCTGACTGAAGGGGTTCAAAAAGAGAATGGGTGGAGAGGAAAGAGCGCAGTTGGGAGGCGACAACTCTTTCCAAGACCTTGGAGAGAAAGGGGAGGTTGGAGATGGGCCGGTAGCTTGATAGCTGCGACGCATCAAGGGAGGGTTTTTTCAGGGTGGGCGTGATGATGGCAGTTTTTAATGGAATGGGGACAGAGCCAGAGGAGAGGGACAGGTTTATGATGTCAGTGATGTGTGGGGCAAGAAAATGGAGCTGGGAGATAAGGAGTGGAGTGGGGATGGGGTCAAGGGAGCAGGTGGTTGGTTTTAGGGATAGGATGAGTTCAGTGACAGAGGGTGGGGAAACGGGTACGAAGGTGTGTAGGGGAGGATGGGTAGGAGTCGGAGTGTGGGAGGGAAGGGGTGGGTGGTGGGTGGAAGTTGGAGGGGAAGTGACCGCGGAGCGGATTCCCTTGATCTTGGATTCAAGGAAATCCAGCATCTCCTCGCAGTGAAGGTTGGAGGAGATGACCTGCGCGGGGTGGCGGGGGGACGGAGGAGTCGGGATGTGGTGGAAAACAGTAGCCTGGGGTTGTTCTTCGCCTCCAGGATTATCCTGGAGTAGAAGGACGACTTGGCCGAGGCTAGAGTGGAGCGGTAAATTTTGAGGAGGTCCAGCCAGATTTGTCGGTGGACCGTTAAGCCGGATTTGACAAAGGTGCGCTCAGCAGCCCGCACCTGGCATTTCAGTGAGCGGAGGTGGGTGGTGTACCAGGGGGAGGAGCGGGAGTAGGAGACAGTGCGGGAAGTGATGGGGGCAAGAGTATCGAGTGTGGAGGAGAGGATATTGTGGAGGAGGGAGAGAGGAGAAGAGGGGTCGGTGAGGGTTGAAGGCCAGAGGGAGAGGAGTTCAGAGGACTCCAAGGCATCGGTTAGGGATTGTGGGGGTAACTTCTTCCAAGGGCGGTAGAAGATGGTGGTGGGTCTGGTGGAGGTGGGGAGGGGGGTGGAGGTGGTGAAGGAGATGAAGTAGTGGTCGGAGATGGCCTTGTCGGTAATAGTGACATCCGAGACACTGAGGCCCCGGGTGATCACCAAATCGAGTGGGTGGCCGTGACTGTGAGTGGGGGAGTTTATGTGTAGGGAAAGGTTGAGTGAGGAGAGCAGGGAAGAGAAGTCTGTGGAGATGGAGCAGGAGGGGGTGAAGTGTAGGTTAAAGTCGCCCAGGATGATGAGGCGATCGGAGCAGAGGCAAAGAGATGTGAGGAGTGTTGAAATGTCAGAGATGAAGGTGGGAGAGGTTTTAGGGGGCCGGTAGAGGAGGAGGATTTTAAGGGAGAGGAATGAGGGGTGGGAGAGGGTGAGGTGCTCGAAGGAGGGGAAAGAGCCAGTGGAGTAGGGGGAGAGGGCAAGTGGTGTCCTTGAGATAAGGGCAACACCACCGCCACGGCGGTTGGGGCGGGGGATGTGGTGGGAGGTGTAGCCGGGTGGCGTGGCCTCCGTGAGGGGGAAGGTGTCGCCTGGGGTGAGCCACGTTTCTGTCAAGGCCATGATATCAACGTTCTCATCAAGGATGAGATCGTTGATGACCAGGGCCTTGTTGCAGAGGGAGCGGACATTTTGCAGTCCGATGTGGAGGGAGCGGTTGACAGAAGGGTGTGTGGGAGGGGAGGGGGGTCCAGGTTGTGAGGCAGGGGTGGGGGAGATGGGGATGAGGGAGGAGAGGTTGACTCCCCGGGTCTGTGTCCGGGGTGGCTGGCGAGAGTGGTGGGGAATGGGGCAGTCGGTGTGGCTGCTGCTGGACAGCCAACGCCGAGTGCCACGGTGAGCCCGGCGGAGGATTCCCAGACTGGAACAGAGGGAGGTTGTGGGAGGGTCAAGTGGGGATAGAAGACGAGAGGGACGGAGAGAGAGGAGGAGAGAGCGGGAGAGATGCAGAGGGGGGAGGGTTTGGGGGGAGAGAGGAGGGGGGAGGGAGGGAGGGGGTGAGGGGGCTCGGGTCAAAGCGGCAGCCATAGTGCGCACGCGGGGACCGGGAGCGAGCGGTCAGGTGGATGGCATTATCCCGCAGATTGGGGCATCGAACCCAACAGGACCACAGTGGGCTCTGATGTGAGCCCTGGGGGGGCGCGGAGGTTTTTTTTTTTTTTTTTTTTTGGGCGAGCGCACTCACCTGAAAACTAATCTATGACGTTGCAGTTCCCCCGCTCCGTCCCCACCCCTCCCTCCCCTCCCCGACTGGCTGCACTCGCTCCGGCGTCGAGTTTAAGTACCTGGGTCAGTAGGCCCAGGCTCCTCCCCGCGCTGTCCTGCTACCGCTCCCCGACTGGCTGCACTCGCTCCGGCGTCGAGTTTAAGTACCTGGGTCAGTAGGCCCAGGCTCCTCCCCGCGCTCTCCTGCCGCCGCTCCCCGACTGGCTGCACTCGCTCCGGCGTCGAGTTTAAGTACCTGGGTCAGTTGGCCCAGGCTCCTCCCCGCGCTCTCCTGCCGCCGCTCCCCGACTGGTAATTATCAGTAATTACTAGCAGTGATTTAACTCACCAGGAATTCCAACTGCTGCAAGAACAGGATAATAAGTTTCTTGTACGTTCAGAAGTTTAGATCTTGGTGGCATCTTTCACAGCAGCGACATCTTTTGCAAAGGTAGAGCAGCCCCTTCTGACACATTGATTTAATGCTGTCACATATTTGTAGCCTTTGGAAACTCCATGGAGATTGAGAGATGATGTGATCATCGCATTAGTGACAGATGGTGGAACAAACATCTTCAGACACGTCAGCAATATGTTTCAGGTATAATTTTCCTGCGTTCATATCATTGTGTAACTCAAAATCCATTCTGAGGCAAAATCTGTTCAATAAGGAAAATCTAATCAAAATCAAAATCTAATTCAACAAATTGGATTAGCAAATGCTTTTATTTGTGACCTCCACATTTTATTTTTTATGCGCATGTGACTGATGTTGCAAATTATCTGAGGGTTAACTGCTCTCCTGGTTGACACATTAGGTCAATATACAGAGAGCAGAAAAATGTCAAATGATACAATACAAAACAAAATTAAATTTGTACAACGCCTTTCACATCGGAATGGATCCCAAGACGCTGGAAAATCAGGGATATTGACCTGAGCTGTGGTTCCGGATTCGGGAGGATGGAGGTCAGGGCCTGTAAGAGTGGTGAACGAATGCTTCGTAAAACTGGAGAGTATAGGGTCTCAACTTCAAGGAGGCAAGAAATTAATGTGGGATAGAGTTGCATAGGATAGGGGCAGAAAGGCTGAAGGCACGACCGCCGATAGTGTGGTGAATCTCGGTGGGTGGGAGGTGGGTGCTGCTCATGGAAAATGCCAGAGCTTGCTAAGCAGAGTGAGAAACAGGTTGTTACGTGGTCAGCAGGACTCAGTGATGAAGGATGTGTAATTTCGTAACTTTACGTTGGACCTATGTCCAAAACATTCTCCTTTGTGTTTCCATACTCCTGTGTTTAATGGAGAGATCTTGCTGTAGCCCATTTCCAAAGTCTGGGATCAGTGATTTGCATCGGTGATAAATATGGGAACCTGCCCTGCCAGAGGGAGGTTTGCGCTTCGGCCAGTAATGACCTGTTGATGGAGGCGCTGTCAGGTTGGAGTTTCAAACATGTGTGGGGCTAAAACCCTTCACAAGAGACCCCTGTTTTAACGTGTCAACAAAAACAGCAATTTGCATTGGCACTGCATCACTTTCACGTAGCAATGCTTGGTACTGGCGGAGCTCAACGCCGAGACCGTGGGGAAGTGAAGGGGTCAAAGGAGGCAGAGTGGATTAGTAATGTCTTCAGGCTCCACCTGTTGAAGTGTAGGGAAGGAGCAAGGCGGAATAATAGATGAAGTGTGTTTGGGGCACTGATTGACTGCATCTTGGGAATCGTATTCACCAATGGTGGAACAGCGGACATGCAGAAGGCCTGGGAACTACAGATCAGTCAGCCTAACACCAGCAGTGGGGAAACTGCTGGAGACTATAACGCGGGACAGACTAAACCTTCACTTAGAAGAATATGGGTTAATTAGGGACAGCCAGCATCGATTTTGTAAAGGCAAATCTTGTCTAACAAATCTAATAAAAATTATGGATGAGGTAACGGAGAGGTTTGACAAAGGTAGTGCAATTGATGCAGTTCATATGGACTTTCAAAATGTATTTGACAAAGTGCACTTGAAAGGTTTGTAAGAAAGAGTGAAGCCCATGGTATAAAACGAAAAGTGGCAGCACGGATCCAGAACTGGATGGGAGACAGAAATCAGAGTGTTGTGGTGAACGCTTGCTTTTCTGGCTGGAGGGATGTATACAGTGGGATCCCCGGGGATCGGTATTAGGACCACTGGTCCTCTTAATATATATAAATGATCTGGACATATCTATAGCAATCATCATTTCCAAGTTTGCGGACGACATAAAGATTCGCAGGGCAATAAACAGTGAGAAGGATAGTACCCTATTGCAGGAAGATATGGGCAGAATTGTGACATGAGCAGACACATGGAAGATGAGTTACAATGTGGAGAAATGCAAGGTAATGGATTTTGGTAGAACGAAAGATGGGAGGCAATATCGACTGGGTAATACAATCTTAAGGGGGGTAAAAGAACAGAGAGACCTAGGGGTGCAGGAAAATTAATCATTGAAGTTGACACGACAGGAAGATAAAGTTCTACAAAGCGCATATGGTACAATAGATTTCATATAGGGGCAGAGAGTGCAAGAGTCAGGAGGTTATGATTAACCTATATAAAATATTGGTGAGGCCTCAGTTAGAATACTGCGCCCAATTCTGGGCACCAAACTCTATGAAGGATGTTAAGCAATTGGAAAAGTGTGCAGAGGAGATTTACAAGAATGGCACCAGGAATGAGCGACCTTGATTATGAGGAGAGGCTATTCAGGCTAGGATTATTCTCATTGGGGCAGAGAAGGTTACGAGGAGACCTACTGGAGGTCTTCATAATCATGAGGGGATTTGTTAGGTGAGAAAGGGAAAAACCGGTTCCACCGGTGGGTGTGTCGATGAGTCGAGGTCACAAATTCAAAATGTTCTCCAAACGAAAGAGAGGGGAGGTGAGAGGAATTTTTTTTCACGCGGCGAGTTGTTCAAATCTGTAAAGCATTTGAGGAAGACGGATTTGCAGATTATGGGGAAAGGGCTGGGGGTGGGTCTGACATTAATCGCTCTATTCAAAGAGCCTTCACAAACTCGATAATAATAATAATAATCCTTACATTTTATAAAGCGCTTCTCACGTCGTGAGGACGCCCCAAAGTGCTTCACAGAACACACTGTAAAGTCAATTGACTGTATATTTGTGGGCGAACGCGGCAGCTAGTTGCGCACAGCAGTGTCCCAAAAACAGTCGTAGAATTAAAATGACCAATTTATTATTGTTTTTGGTTTTGGAAGGATTATTATTAGGTGGGTGGAGTAAGGAAACTTGCCCAAGGTTTCGCCCTCTGCCTGGAATTGAACTCAGGTCTCTCAATTGCAAAGCGAGTGCTCTAACCACTGACGTACAGCTCTCCACAATGGGCCGAATGGCTTCTTTTTGTGCTCTACGATTCTATGATCCTTCTACACAGGTGACCAATTCGTTCGTGATGTCCGGCAAGCAACGGTAGCCAATATCAGTGGCTGTTTCGCAAATTCAAATGGGAAAGTAGATATATGTGTCTTCCTCATGGATGTGGATACTGACTCCAAGACTGCAGATGATGCTACAAATTGGAAGCATGTAATGGCGGAGGGAAGGAATGCAAACAAAGAGGATGGACTGTTCCTGGGTCAAAAGAACCAAACAAGAAAACGAGGCCATGGGCCTACTGACATAGAGGAAGAGGACATAATTAATTTCCACTTGCATATCATCTATCGCTTAGGATGTAGGATTCCAGGAGATGTTGACATCGCCCAAAAAATATCAATTTTAATAATCCTTGCATTTGTCGTAGCTTCTTATCACCGCTAATCGACGTCTCCAAGCTCTTCACAGAATGTTCGGTAAAGTGGATTGACTGCAAGTATTTTGGTCGAAACACGGCAAACAGTTGGACACAGCAGTGTCCCACAAATAGTTGTGTATTGAGTGACAGATTTATTACTTTCTTTTAATGTAGCAATTATTTCCACTGGAAATGAGATTCGACAGTCGACTAACAAAAGAGTTCCGCTTTACCGCCTTGTAAGGAGAGGCGTGTGGAGCAAAGAAACTTACAACTATTTCACCCTGCCGGAATCGAAATTGTTTCTCTCGCTTGGGAGGCGCGTGGTCACATCAGTCATCTACATCAAACCACCAATCGACCATTGGGAATTGGATACTGTCGAAGAATGGAATGATCATAGAAATAAGTTTCGAAAATGGCCATGAATATGGGGAAGGAATGCCTTAGTTGATTCAACTCTGCAGTACAACTCCCAGCATAATATCATGAATGTTGGGATTGGAAGAAATAATGTGTAACTAAGAGTTGGAGGAAAGAGTCATTAATCGGTGACTGCAGAAAAGTATCAAATCTTTATTCAAATTGATGGTAAGAGATTGTAAAAGGGTTGTGTTCTTACAACCATGTATTTCAGTTCTCTACT